GTGTCCTCTGGGGAGATGGAGTGGTTAGAAGGCCCAAGAGACTAAGACTCGCCACTGAAACTGCCGAGTGAGGGCTGAAGGAGGTCCCACTGAGAGTCACAAGCACACACGTGGAATAAGAGTTATCCCCAGCACCCACAAACTGTGGGGTGCCCCAGTTGGACATGCTCTACAGTGAGGAGGAAAGGGAACTTCCATTCACCGAGAATGCTAAACTAGTGCTGGACTATTTTTTTAATTTATTTATTCTTATTTTATGTGCATTGGTGTTTTGCCATGGATATCATGTCCCCTGGAACTGGAGTTATAGACAGTTATGAGCTGCCTTGCGGGTGCTGGGAATTGAACCTGGATCCTCTGGAGAGCAGTCAGTGCTCTTAACCACTGAGCCATCTCTCCAGGCCCAGCACTGGGACCCTTGAAGACCTAATAGCAGCAATCACAGTTCCCATTTACCTATCTAGTCAGGAGCCTTGCCACCACCCTTACCCCCACCCCTGCATCAGCAGCATCTATCTTTGTCCCCATTAAACACATGGGGACACTGAGGCACAAGAGTATGCACTTAAACAAGGTTCCAGGGCCTGAGAGTGACAGAGTCAGGGTTCTGAGTGTGGCATGTGCTGGGTACTGGCTGAAGACATCTCAGAGAGGCCAGTGTTGTGTGCAGCTGAAGAACTGGGTTCCATGCACCGCACAGTAGTCGCTGGCTAAGAAGTTAGTCTGCCAGATTTGTGATCTACATTCAAACCCTCCACAAAATATTGTGTTTTCAGGTTTTTTTTAAAAAGCCTCTTATGGGTTTAATAAATTGTGCTTTAGATAAACCAAACCAGTTGCCGATGGAGATGGGTCTTCATATCCTGGAACTCTTTCAGAGAGGGAAGTCCTCATAACAGAATGTTTTACACAGTGATCAGTGAAAAAACGTGCATGTAGAGTGATGTTCTATTTGGTTTATATTTATTTTATTATTATTTTTAGAACGGATCTCATGTATCCCGAACTGGCCTCAAAGTCACTATATAAAGTCAAGAATGACTTTAAACTTACTGGCCCACCTCGTGAGTGTTGGGATTACACGTGTATGTCACCTTGTCTGGCTTTATGCAACACTGGGGATCAAACCCAGCTTCCTGCATATTCAGCAAACATGCTGAGATGTAGTCTCAGCCCTCAGTTTGGTTTGTAAAGAGCCCAGACCCTTCATGGAGAGGAAGAATCATGAGGTGTAAAGTGGACTGGGCGTCCAGGAAACTCATAGCCTTGTGGCAGGTGCATAGGCCCAGGAACCAGAGACAAGGCTGTCTGGACTCACAGGGTCAGAGCAATGCTGGGTGTGATCTTGGACAAGTGTCTACCCCTGACCTCCAGGTCTGTGAGGACCTAGAGAGATGATGCAGGTGGACGGCCACCAAGCCTGCTTGGTGCTCAGATCTGCCCTGTCTTTGAGTCAGGAGAGCAGGAGAACCCATTGGGGCAGATGAGAGCAGGAGGTACTAGCCAGAGCCCTGGGGGTTCTGCAAGGCATGCTGGGACTTGTGCACACAGCCAGGAACCTGCTACCAGAAATCATGGCGGCCCCAATAAGCATGGACCACAAGGCCCCCTGAACATGCCCGGTGCCAAGGGCCCTACAGGCACCTAATCTTCCCAGTTGCTCTGCACCTAGCTAGGACAGCCAGCTAAAACGTTTGGGGCCCTGTTCCACTCTGTGGAGCACTGGCTGTCCTAAAACTCACTCTGCAGGTCTCTAACTCAGAGATCCGCCTGTCTCTGCATCCCGAGTGCTGGGATTAAAGGTGTGCACCACTACAGCTGCCTGGCTTATTTTTTGTTTTTGAGGTAGGGTCCCTTGTAGCCCAGGCTAGCTCTGAACTCCACATAACCAAAGATGACCTGTGACTTTTACATTTATTTCGGTTGCTGTGTGTACTGGGGGGAGGGGGGCATATGTGCTAGAGCGTGCACACGGAGGCCTGCTCTCGCTTTCCTTCCACCTTTCTGTGTTGGAGGGGTTGAACTCTAAGTCCCACCCAGTGAACCTTCTCACTGGCCTCAACCTTGATCCTCCTGCCCCTCCATCCGCCAGTGTTGAGATTACAAGTGTTTACCACAAAGCCTGGTTTAACCCGGTGCCAGGGATGGAACCCAGGTCTTCATGCATGCTGGGCAAGCCCTCTTCCAGCTGAGCTACACCCCCAGCCCAAATGCTCCTACGGAGGAGATGGAGAACTGGAGTCTCAGAGGTTCAATGTCTTGCCCAAAGTCACATAGCAAGGTAGGGATGGGGCTCGGGTATAGCGTGTGCACCTAGGACATGCAAAGCCCTGGGTTTGCACTTGAAGTTGTGGAGTCAAGGTGTGTGCCCCAGCCCTGTCTGCTTGCAGTTTTAGCTCCTGCCTGCTGTACTGAGAGGCAGGCTTCAGCGTTGAGCCTCTTAAACACAAAGCAGCTGAAGCTGGGAGAGAGGAATTGCTCACGAGCTTCCCAGTGATGACAGTGTCCTGCCTGTGCCTGGTCTGCTTTCTCCTTGGCTCTCAGCGGCTTCTGGTTCCAGCCATGTGCCCATGGTGGAAGGACTGAGAGAGAGAAGGGATTTGGAGAGAGGAGGGAACCCCCATATACATACACATGTACCCGAGTGAAGCCCTCGCTCTATCCCTGCACGATAGACAAAGCCGGCCCCGTAATTGGGAGTGAGTATTTCATACGTGCCCCCCGATGTTTTATTGGGAGGAGAGATGCTTGGAGACCGAAAGGATGGCACATTCCGTTTATAAAGTGCGTGCCGTTTGTTTTATTTCCCAGGCTCTTGCAATCTAGATAACAGATGATGCCCTGAGCGGCTGTGCGGCCTGGAAACGGCTGCTGGAGCCTTTGGAGGGGTATTAATAATAGATTGTGTTGATAAGCTTGGAGAAAGTCGCAATCCACCCCCTGCTGCCAAGGCATTAGTGTGGCTGTTGAATGCTGGAGCGCCAGCTTGGTGGCACAGTCACTGAATGCAGGTCACCCCCCAGCACACACCCTGCTTGCTGCTTCTCTGCAGCCTCAAAAGATGTGTGCATTGGAGCCCACGAGATGTGCCTGGGACCTGGGCCTGCCAAGCTGGCCAGGACCTGGCTGGTACCCATCTGTTCAGATCTCTGCAGCCTGTACTGAGCACCTTGGTCAGGTGCAGAGCAACTGAGGGGCCGGGAAGAAGGCCGGGGCCCTGAACAAAATTACCCAGTCTGTGCCTTCCTTTCAAAGTACAGGCTGAGCTGGCTCTAGAGGGTTCCCACTTGCCTCCAGCACCTGTTCTGACCCTCAGTCCCACACCCAGACTTGGCATATCCACACCACAAATGTACCCAGAGCACCCCTGAGAACCTGGAAAAAGTCACAACCTGCTTTGAGATATCCCCACTCCACTAGAGTTGAACCCTCTCGAAGACATACACGATGGCTTCCTGCTGACTCAGATGCTCAGTGCTGTCAGATCCTCAGGATTGTCTTCTGCTGTCCCCATTTTGCAGCAGAGCAACCTCAGTCAGTCAGGAAGTTCAGAGGCAGGCAGGGGAGGCCGTGTGCCTTAGAATAGGGCAGCATCAGAGAAGGCTTCCCAGAGAAGGAGGCATTGGAGCTGGGTGTTGCAGGTTAAATAGGAGTCTGCCAGACAGAATAGAGGTGGGTATGAGGGTTGCCCCCAGGCTGAGTGCTCTGGCCAGTGCCAGGGAAGCAACAGAACAGGAGGAATCTCTGTCCAGTGCCCCACAGCATTTTGTCGTGGGCGGTGCTGATGGCAGCCCCGGGAAGGGAGTCAGGGCTGGAGCCTGGTGTTTACGGCTGTCCCTGCTTCAGAACCGATTAGCAGAGAATTGCAGCTGTAATCTGTGCCCGTGATGGCGGGCCATAAAGAGGGATGGGATGTGCGGTGCTCCCAAGGTGGCGCCCGCAGACGTGGCCCGGGGATGCGGGGAATGAAAAATGGTTTTAATTCCCTCCCAGCAGCAATAATTTGATTCTTCATAAATTTTTCCATCAAAGTGTTGTTGAGGCTGGGTTCCCACAGAGCAGGCACGTGACAGGGGGAGAGTGTGGGAGGAGTGGTCAGCAGACCAGCAGGACCCTCCAGCCCAAACCAGGCAGGGCCATGGAGACCCATCCGGGCGGGCGGGCCCTTGGATAGATGGGCGACAGAGCCTGCCGGGACCAACGCCTGCATGAGCCCACACTGGGAGCTGTTTGTCACATCACATGCACTCTGAGCAAGAGGAACTCCAGTCTGCTCTTCCTTTTCCTCATCCCTAAAATGGGGCCGGGTCTCTCTGGTTTCAAGGCCATCGCCATCAGGTGACATGCATGTGCAACATGCTGAGTACGGCCGCTAGCCCTGCTTCGGCAAACTGTGCCCATGCTGAAATGAAGGGACAAGAAGGTGGCACCAAGCCAAGGGGCAGGGACAGAACATGCCCAGTGGCTGCTGCGAGTGTACTCTGGAGACCCCATGGCTGTCCTGAGGGATTACAGCCAGGGAGCCAAGGGTGGTGAGGTGGGGTGTTCTTCTAAGGGCACGAGGGAGCTATGGAAGACTGGGTCAGGAAAGAATGAGCTTTGGAATGCGTTCCAAAGAGCCTCCTGGGTCCTGTGTTGGGCACAGAAGAGGGAAGGTGAAAGCTTTGAGGATTGGGAGCCCAGGGTGCGGAGAAGGGTCCAGACTGGAGGGCAGGGCAAAATGGAATTGTTTGACTATGGGAGTGAAGGAAGCTAGTGGTCAGGGGGTGAGGCGGACCCTGAACACTGCCCTCTAGTGGCCTTCATGACTGAGTGGGAAGACTCAGAAGCAGAGCTGACCGGTCCCCGTGGTTCAGAAGAGGAGGGTGTGTCCCCGCCCCCTTCCTCCCCCCCCCCCATCTGCCTGAGTGGCAGAGAGAGATGCCCTGGGTTAGGCAGACTCTCTCAGCCCAGCCTGTGCCTCCTCCATGCCCTGCAGGCTCTTCGCGGCGAAATGCAGCGGCTGCATGGAGAAGATCGCACCTACTGAATTCGTGATGCGGGCGCTTGAGTGCGTGTACCACCTGGGCTGCTTCTGCTGCTGTGTGTGCGAGAGGCAGCTGCGCAAGGGTGATGAATTCGTGCTCAAGGAGGGACAGCTGCTGTGCAAGGGTGACTATGAGAAGGAGAAGGATCTTCTCAGCTCCGTGAGCCCTGACGAGTCAGACTCTGGTGAGCCTGGGCTGGGGCAGCTGCAGAACATGGCTCAGTGGGATGCTGGAGAGGGGCTTCTGAGCTCCACAGACCTGCACCCCCACACATGTCCAGCCAGCACTGAGGTGCCACATCCATCCCTGCATGCCACCCTAGTACTTATCTGGGTGCCAATGCCAGGGCACACACACCTGTATGCCTATCTGACCACGCATGTACCCAGTACGATAGAGACACCATCCCATGTGCCCATATGTGGGGACATGTGCTCACACACCCACGTATGCAAAGCTTCACCCTAGGCACACACACACACACATGCATGTACATGTTTCATATCTCTGAAGCTAACCAGCACACTCAGGCTGCACATACATGTTTATATAAACACTCACATGCACTGTATGTGCAGACATTTGCTCTCTGGCAAGGGCTGAAATCCAGCTGGCACCCTGTCACTCCTGATAACTGGCCTGTTCTTTGAGGCACCCTAAATCCACAGGGATGGCTTCTGCCCATGTGGAGAGTATCTGCCCTTGCCAGGGTCCCAATGTTTGGGCCTCAGTGTGGCAGAGTCCTCATGTATCTGCTGCTGGCCATCCCTGGACAAGACACTGTGACAGCATCCCTGTGGCCACCTGCACTCCCACGGAAGGGAAGGGCACTGGGCCAGCTTACAGATGTTCTAGAAAGGATTGCGGTGCTCCTTGGGGCTCACCTCCAAAGAAGGTGGAACTAGGGAGGGAATAGGTTCCAGTGAGGGGTGTTGGAAGCTGATGGTTGTTAGGAAGTTCGGCCATGTACCTGACTCTCTAAGGCCCCAAACTCTGGGGTCATGGAAGCGGTATGTGTGTTGCTGGGTGTACATACATGTTTTTTCATGCCACATGTGTCTTGGCATGTATGTGTCCCTGCCTGTGGGTACAGGCCTCTGTGGGCCCATGATTATAAATGTCTCTAAGCAGCACATATGTGGGTCTCTGTGTCAAGATGCAGGAGTGTGTAACCACCAGCGAGCACGCACATCGTTGTTCTAAGTCCTCCTGTGAGGATGCCTGGTCCCTGTGTCTTTGTCAGTTGTTAGTCCTTGAAAGTCTCGAGAAAGAAGGCTCCTGATATCCTTCTCTTTTCACCCTGGTCCCCAGCTGACACATGACCCTCAGAGGCCAACAGAAGGTGGGTTTCAAATATGATGAGTTGGGGAAGCCAGGGCCAGCCTGAGCCATAATTGCAACATGCCTGTACAGGAGGCTGCTGGCCTTCAGAGACATGTAAGAGCAGATCTGCGCTTGTGTGTGAGCACCAGCATTCTGCGCACACTCTAGTATGTCTTCCTGAGGCACCTGGGTCCTGGTCCCCACAGGGGCCTGATTCACTGTCTCCCTGAGCCCATGGGCACCTGCGCTTTGGACACCATAGGAAAACCTGCGGTCAGCAGTTAGACCAGGCTGAGCCCAGAATGAGGGAGTGAGGAGTATGTATTAGGGTTATGGGACGTGCAGGGAGCAGAAGATGAAGGCCCAGCAAAGATGGACAACTTTATCCTGGGGTCATTAAGTGGTGAAGGAATTCTCACCTAAAGGTTCAAAGCGCTGACTGACGGGTTGGATTCTGTATTCCACAGTGAAGAGCGAGGACGAAGATGGAGACATGAAGCCGGCAAAGGGGCAAGGCAGCCAGAGTAAGGGCAGTGGAGATGACGGGAAGGACCCCAGAAGACCCAAACGGCCCCGGACTATCCTCACCACGCAGCAGCGGAGAGCCTTCAAGGCTTCTTTTGAGGTCTCCTCCAAGCCCTGTCGGAAGGTGAGGAGTTCTGAAGCCCACATCTCTCTTTTGCTTATTGTGGGTCCAGCTCCTCCTCTCCGACCCACTGCTATCGCTGGGGACAGGAATGTCCTTCCATCCCTCCACCTCCCAGCTGCCATCAACACCAACCTGACCTGTCTCCCTCTCTCTGGGTCAGGTCCGAGAGACGCTGGCAGCAGAGACAGGCCTCAGCGTGCGTGTGGTCCAGGTCTGGTTTCAGAACCAAAGAGCAAAGGTGAGAGGTCCCTGCTACTCCAGTGCTCTAGGGCACACCTGGGAATGGGGATGGGCAGGAAGAGTCCTGTCGAGGTGAGGGACATAAAGGAAGTCTGGCATGCAGACTGAGACTGAGGAGGTGCCTGGCTTGTCTCCCTGCAGATGAAGAAGCTGGCCCGGCGGCACCAGCAACAGCAGGAACAGCAGAACTCCCAGCGGCTGGGCCAAGGTGAGCCCCAGGGACATGGGGAGCAGAGGTTGCAATGGAAGGGTTGTCAGGGCATCTACTGTGCAAGTCACTGCTATCCTCTTGTGCTCAGCATGGCGAGGCTCTTTCCCCATATCCGACCCACCCTGGTAGATAGCTCTCATCCCTCCACACTCATCGACTCCCTCCAGGCCGGGACTGACAGGATACCTCATGAGGAAACTCTGGGGCTATCCAGGGACCTTCTGGGATCACAAGGGACAAAGGTGCCTGTACACAGGGCTCCAACCTGCACTGTTAGCAGTGACATGCTTGCTGCTCACTCATTCTGTGAGAGCGCCTCCAGAAAATCAGGGGGCGGGTATGGGGAAGCCCCTGGTGAGCTGCCACTAGCAGTAAAGAGCCAGTCCATAGAGCAGAAAGTGGGTCACTCAGAAGTCTGTTTCGTACCAATGGCTTGGGCCAGGGATGGTCTCCATGGCTACACAGAGACATGGAGACTTTGACGTTATGGAGGGAGGGAAGGAGGTGCAGAGAGCTCCAGAGACCACCACTGTGGTGGAGCAGACAGGGGAGCAGGTGGCCCTAGGAAGATGCTAGGCACCCTCAGACAGGCCAGACCCTAGCCTGGGCTTGGGGACCTACCAACAAGGTTCCAAAACCTCACATTCCTTGTTTCCCCTAGAGCCCCCTAAGGCCAGTCTTCTGCCTCCAGCCGCCAGAATCCCCGTCCTTGTTCTTGAAGAACAGCGTCCCTTGTTCTCCAGTGTCCCCTACTCCCTCCTAGATGCCACCAGAATCCTCCCTGCTCTCTCTCCAGAGTCCATTTGGTTCTACCTCCCTGCCCGCGGCCCCTCTGATCCCCACCTTTCCCTCTGTTCTGTCACCATCTGGGGAGTGGTTGCCGCCCACCCATTTTTCTCCCTCTGAGTATTGTTTACAGGGCCCCCAGGACCTCTCCCACTTCCTGGTCCCCTGAACAGACCCAGCCACCCAACATTTCTCCACAGCACCTTCCTTGCTTTAGACAGCCCCAAAGGGAAGCCTGCTGCATCCCGACCTAAAGCAGCCTGTCCAACCATCTTTCCAGTCCCACTGGGGAGACCGTCCCCTCCCCAGCCTGCCATATCCCTTCTTGGTGATTCTTTAGGTTCTTCTGGAGTGAGGACTTTTCCCAAGAAGCCTTCCTGGGCTTGAGTTCTATCTTAGTGCCTCTGCACGGTGAACCATGGGACATGGCTACTGCCAGCATAGCCTGCCACCTCTCCAGTCCCGTGCTCCTGTAGCTGGAGCAGGTAGAAGACAGAATCATGGAAAGTCTTTCGGGGGAGGGACCCAGAAAGGGAAGGTAGAAGGTGCATCTAGAATGGGAGTCCCGGGGCTCTGGGGAGCCTCTGAAGGGACTACCAGGACAGGGCAGGCAGGACCAGCTGGTGACGGCATTCATTGTCCTCAGAGGTCCTGTCAAGTCGCATGGAGGGCATGATGGCCTCCTACACGCCGCTGGCGCCCCCGCAGCAACAGATCGTGGCCATGGAACAGAGCCCCTACGGAAGCAGCGACCCCTTCCAGCAGGGCCTCACGCCGCCCCAAATGCCAGGTGACCACATGAACCCCTATGGTAAGCTGCCCCACCCGCATCCGCTCCAGCTTGCTCTCTGTCCTTGCCTAGCCAGGCAGACAGAGTCTATATGACTGACAGTTCTTGCTGCCCACAGCTGAGGGCTCAGGGCCCAGGGTAGTCCAACCAACATTGCCAGCATGCCTGCCCCGGATGGGAAGGGCCTAGCCCCAGCCTGCTGGCCTACCCATAACCCCTGGACATGGAGCCTGAGGGGCTGCCAGGAACCCCTGGTGCCGTGGCCCACACCCAGGTCCTGACGTCCCTTCTGAACCCCACAGGGAACGACTCCATCTTCCACGATATCGATAGCGATACCTCCCTCACCAGCCTCAGCGACTGCTTCCTCGGTTCCTCTGACGTGGGCTCCCTGCAGGCCCGTGTGGGGAACCCCATCGACCGGCTCTATTCCATGCAGAGCTCCTACTTTGCCTCCTGAGAGCCAGCTGGGCCGCATGGACGCTTGGGCCTGGGCCTAGGGTGGGACCACAGGCCTCTGCAGCCAGCCGGCCCCCCAGCCCGCCACCCGCTCAGATTCTACAGACAGCCATACGGTGCCCTCCCCTCGGCCAGCCGGACCTGGCTCAAGTGCCCGCTGGGCACAGCCAGACAGGCAGATGGGTGCAGCCTGGGCAGGGACTGTGTCCTGCCCACGGAGACCTTGTGACCCCTGGGGACCCAGAGCTCTTGGACAGCCACTCGCCTCCCAGCCCTTTGACTCTATCACCTCCTTTCCCCGCCCCACCTCTTTTTTGGGGGAAACTTTTATTTGTTCTATTTTTTTTTTTAACATTCTGTTTCCAGCCAACCTCTATTGTCCCTGCAAGGCCAGCCCTGGGACAGTGCCTGGTACCCGAGAAACAGATATACGGGTGTCCTGCGCAGGTGACCATTTGCGCTTCTGGTCAGCGCAGGGGATGGTTTCTGGGTCCTAGGAGGCCCAGGGTCACTGTCCCCGGCCCTAGGCTGGGGCAGAGGAGAGGAGGAACCAAGCATGGGCAACAGGTTCTTTAGCCCTGGTTGAACTAGGAGTCACAAACAAGCAGACTGATGTGGACAGAGCCCGGAGGGACCCAAAGGGACAGAGATGCACATGTCCAGGCACACACATCTGTAGGCACACCTGTGAACATATGCATATACACCTGGGTGCGCACACACACGCGTATAAGAGGTGACTCCCACTCTGCAGCCTGGGGGTAGTGAGGTCAGTGGACAGGGCCGCCTCTGAGAGCAACTGGAGAGAAAGAAGGAGGAGGCTTTGGGTGTGAGCAGGTGAGCCTGGTGCATCCCAGGCTCTGTATGGATCAGGACTTCCAGGATAGAAGGGCATCACAGAGTCCCAGGCCAGAGATGGACCCCACAGAAGCAGGCAGAAGGAGGCCGCAGCAGAGGATTCAGATACCAAGGACCTCAAGAGTCTAACCCGCATTGATCCTGGGCCCTTGTTCTTTGACGGGACCAGCTGCCCTTCTGTGGCCCTCCTGACCCTTAGTCTCCTCTTCTTAGCTGAGGCTGGATGCTGGCAGGGCTCCTGCCTCCTGTGCAGATGTGGGACTGTGTGACCCAGCTTCCCTCCTGACGTTAGCCAGCTCACACCGACAAGGCCCGTCTCCTCCCCGCTCCTGCACCTCTGCTAAGATCTGAGATCCAGCAGGTGGTTTAGGTCTCCTTTGGAAGTCCACCCTTGCTCTGTGATGAGTCTTTGGGCCTCACACAGGCACTGACAAGCCACAACCCCTCAATACGCTGTGACACTGATTGCTCAGAGCCCATGAAGACCATGGACTGTACCTAGTTGCCTTTCCTTCCATTGGCTCAGCAAGCTTGGGGCGTTACTCTGAGCCGGGTGAGAGGTCAGCCCTGAGGGGTTCCCCGCAGTGCCCCTGCATGGTATGTAGCCCACCAGTGCTTTAGCCTCTGTGTCACCCAGCCCCATGTCTCCTGGACTCTTGCTGCCCAAAGCAGAAGCAATAGTGGATCTCTCCTTGGCAACCTCCACTGGCCCCCGACAGGTCTGAGCCAGAAAGCCAGGATTTTGTCTCTCATCTAATGCTGAATTCTAACCTCCCAACACACACACCCTGATGTCTGCCGAGCTCTAGCCATGGGCACATAATGATGAGAGTCTCTCTCTCTCTCTCTCTCTCTCTCTCTCTCTCTCTCTCTCTCTCTCTTTCTCTCCCCATTTTGGGCACCTGGGTCTGGCTGGTTAAGTTGTGTGGATTTATTCTCAGACCCCCTTAACCCACTCAGATGCCACAAGATGGAGTCAACGGGGAAGAGCAGCTGCCACCATGGCCCTCCTGTGTCCCTCTTTTGTTAAGGAGAGCATCACTACCCTCCATTCTGAAGTTATGGTCCTAAGCCAGTCGCTTTCCTGGGATTCACCCTTCCCGCCCCCTCTGGCATAGGCTCCTGGCTGAATTGCACAGGGAATACTTGAGGTGGACCCAGGGTGGATACCAGCTCCTGGGAGGTCCGGCCTGCTGCTCTTAACCATGTTTTAAGTTGGGAGACACAACAGCAATAGGCTGTGTAGGTCATCCCTTCTGCAGCAGCTAGGAAGCCTGAGACAGGAGAGGGCCAGGGCTGTGCTCAGGCCTCACAGCTGGTAATGCCAGAACTGCAGCCTGGAAAAGGAGAGTAGGCTTGCCCTCATCTTCTTATCTCTTAACTAGCCCCACCAGGGACCAGCGTGCCTCACACCTGCTGGCCCCTAAGCATCTTCCCTTCCTGGAAAAGGAGAGTAGGCTTGTCCCCATCTTCTTATCTCTTGAGTAGCCCCACCAGGGACCAGTGTGCCTCACACCTGCTGCTCCCTAAGCATCCTCCCTTGCTGCTCTGGGCCTCCAGACCCCAAGTCCAGCCCTGCCCACCACTATCCCCAGGCAGAAGATGTTATCAGGACACTCCTTAAGTCACCAGAGGAGGTACCTCAGCCATCACACCGGAGATGGCCTGGCAGCTGTTCTCAGGATTCCTTCATCATGGCTCTGCCCTCCTGAGACGCAGGAGCCTATGCCAGCCCTGAACTGTTCTGTGGGCAAAGGCAGCCTTTGCCCCAGTCCTGTCCAGGTCTTGTTAGCAACCCCCCTCAGGCTGGGGAGTTGAGGGCGACAGAAATGGTGAGGGGCTGGGAGAATTAGCCTGCAGCCTGAAGGAACAGAGGAATGTGGGAGGCAGAAAGTGAGAGATGGGTAGGGTTAGCTCAAAGAAAACCAGCTCCTACCTCCTGCCTAGGGATGTGGCGTGTTGAGGCTCAGGCAGAGGAAGGAACCTTCCCAGGAGTCACACAGGAGTGACAAGCACCCAGGCTTTGTTCCAGTCACGGCCCTATTTATGGATTCATTCCACGAAGCTTCCCAATACTCTGCTGCCCTCAGAGACTCGCAGGAGGCCACACACAGGCATCACACTAGGTGTGAGGGTCCCACGGGGTGGCACAGGCAGCCTGCTGTCGTGGAGGCTTCCTGGAGGGGGTGCGGACTGGAAGGAATGCCATGATAGAGTAGCCCCAGCCGAAAGACAGCCTCTCCTCCTTTAGGGACATCCCTTTGAAGTGAGGCCACCTCCCCAGTCTACCTGGACATCCCCCCTGCTCAGTCAGGGAACATGGGGGAAGATGGACTCAGAGCTCTGGGCCCCCCTAGGGCCAGGGGGATGCTGCAGCCCAGGGCTGACTGCCGTGGGGAAGGGCCGCCACACTCACACACATACATGCACACACTCACACCTGACACAAGGAGGCTCACACGTGGCCTGGAGCAGGGAAGCAGGAAGGACTCTTCAGACCCTTGATGGGGCAGTTGCCCATGGTCTCGGGACTACCGCCCGCTCTGGGGTCCCGCTGGAGGGAGTACGTTGCAGCTGGGCTGGGGCCAGGCCCCTCATCCTATTCTGTTTACCTTGTACAGACTGCCTGCCTGCCATCCCCACATACATTTTATTTAATAACTTGTCATTGTTAAATTATTTATTAGCGTTACCACATCACCACCCCCGCCTTCCACTCACCTGCCTCTTCCCACAAAAGCAGAAAATGGAAACAACAAGAAAAAGATGAGATGTTGGTATATTTGTAAATAAACGACCAGTACACGCCTGTGTGGCCTCTCCTTGGGGGATGGGAGCTGGGTCTAAGAGGGGCCTGCCTATGGCACTGCTGGACTTCCCAGTGGCTTCCAGGAGCACCGAGTCATGGACACCTGCATGGGGGGGGGGACCCTGGTCTCGCCCAACTCCACCTCCTGATTCCCTTCCCCCTCTCTCCTTGTGCCGCCTCAGTCCCTTGCCATCTCCGGCCTTGAGCCCAACACAGCCAGCCACCACCGTTCTCCCTGTCCAGTTACCCAGCACTCACTCACCCCAGCCCTTCATTCAGCCAGGCTGGAAAGCAGAGAAATGATGGTCACCCCCAAGGATGTAGAAAGCCTAGCACAGTGCTGGTGAGGAACACTGGAGCCCTGGCCAGGGCCACCTGTCTCACGACAGTGAGAATCAGGGAAGGCTTCCCAGAAGAAGCCATTCAGCTGAGATCTAGTTACCTAGTTGGACGGGGAGCTGGGTAAGAGAGGTGTCTGGGCGTGGTCCAGGTTTACACACCTTGGAGAAGGCAGAACCTGAGAGTCCTAACCAGAAAGGGAGCCAAGGCTGGGGACCGGGGGAAGAACGCTGCTGAGCAGAAAAGATACGGGATTGACCTAGGAGAAGTGAGTGGGGACAGAAGGTCAGCTGTGCCACTGAGGAGAGAAATGACAGCAACTTAGACCAGAGTGGTACCTGTGGAGAGCAAGAAAATCCAGACCCTCAAAGTGTGCAGGTGACAGCTAGGTTTCTGGTCATTGCTACTGGGGTACAAGAGGAGAAGATGGAATGGGGGTGTCTTTGGGCTGAGACGTGTGAGCAGAAAGCATGCCAGGAATGCCCCCAAATGGGACAACATGGACCACAGCTGGCCATATGTGGGTTCTCTTCACTGAGGTATAGATGGGCAGTTTGGCCAGGGAGCAGAGTTCAGCAAATGAAGTGGCTCCGGTGGCTGTCAGGGCCACCTGAGGTTCACCATAGAGATCTTACTCTGCCAGTGAGCACCAGCGCCCCCTAGAGGCCTGCTCCTCCACAGCCTCTGCTAAGCGGGATATTTGGGTAATTCTGATAGCTAAGCACCTCCAGAGATTCCATTTCCTCATTTGTACCCCCAACAACCCTGAAAGGCAGGATCCCAGACTTCAGAGGGGAAATTGAGGCTCAATGGAGAAGGTGACAGCTCATTATGACAACGTTAACACGGGGACAAAACCAAGATTGTAGCTTTGTCCGCAAACGTTTCAGCTTCACCACCGTCTCCCCCACCCCAGCTGGCTCCTACCAGGCCCTCTGTTCCCAGCCTTAGGATCTGATCCTCCAAGGCCAGACCAGACACCTGGAAACAAGGTAATTCTCCTACTCACAGAGACTCAGAAAATCTAAGTCACATGGCCCAAACTGTGCAGCTGGGAGACAGGACTACACAGAGCCTTGGTGGCCAAGCTCTAAGCTGGAACTGGGGGGCAGGTGGTGGGGAGGAATTCCATGTTCCACTCAAGAGCAGTGGGCTGCCAACTCTCTAGCCTACAGCAATGTCTAAGATCCTGTCACTAAAAAATGTGGGGCTGGGGGCTGGGCTAATCCACTGATCCCTTGCCACCTGCCTGTCACCTCCTCCCTCACCCAGTCCAGGTGAAGGCATGGACTAGCGGGTGAGAGAGGAAGGATTCCCTTCCTCAAAGTCCCCAGTCCTGGAGGCTGATGGCTTCTCAGTGTCCCCAGACTATGCCAGGCAGACTTCCCCCCAAGACACTGCTTTGAGTTCTAATCCAACTTCCACACTTGGCTGGAGGTAGAGAATAGGGCCTGGGGTGCCCATCCCCATTTTTTCTTTCTTCCACAGCCCAGCTCTCCTGGGTCAAGCATGAACAGCTAGTTACTCAAAAGACATAATGGCTCAATGTGGGGAGGGTTCACCACAGTGCTGGAACTCCAGGGACATCTCCCAGAAGAGGAAGTACTTGGCTTGAGCATCCCAAAGTGCTCAGAGTAGAATGACATTTGGGAAGAGGGAAAAGAACGATTGAGGCTGTCACAGGAGCCACAAAAGGCATCGAGGTAAGGCACACCCCACTTGTACTTTGAGTCTGAAGGTCAAACATGGAGAAGGGAGATCCTGGGGGCACCTGTGTCCACACAGGGCATGCCAGGGTCAGGCGGGAAAAGAGGGACAACCGACATGCCCCAGGCTCCAGACCAGCAGGGTTCAAGTCAGCACACTGTGAATTGCTGTATAATACAAAGAAACATTTGTGTTCTTGAATGGACACGAAGATGAAGGAAGAAGAAGAAAAGGAGGAGGAGGAGGAGGAGGAGGAGGAGGAGGAGGAGGAGGAAGAGGAGGAGGAGGAGGAGAAGGAGAAGGAGAAGAAGAAGAAGAAGAAGAAGAAGAAGAAGAAGAAGAAGAAGAAGGTGATGATGATGAAGAACCAAGTCCTGGAGCCCTGCATCTCCCAGGGTCCCAGGAACCTCCACATTTTCATTTGGAAAACTCACATCAAGTACAAAGTAAACGTCCTTAGCAACGAATCTGGCAGGAACATCTCCCCGTGTGACAGAGCATTCATGTGGTTTTCTGTGGACAACTCCCTACTCTCTTCACCCTCTATTTTAGGAGCTACTAAATTCCAAGACCAACCAGCCAGAATTTCCTCATTGAACCTGTAGTGATTCATCAAGCCACGAGGTGGCACTCGAGAGTTGGGCAGACCATCATCCGTGGGCTCCCAGTGCTTGCAGACCGGACCGCCAAGAAGCCTGAAGATGGCCATTGTCAGGGGAGGGATGAGTGCCAGACACTAGGGGGTCCATGTCAGGCACGGTACTGGCAATTCCCTGCCCCACACCATAGAGAAGCAACTGTTAGAATTCCATGTCACAGAAACTGGAGGGTCAACGGGGCTTACAGTGACCCCTCCCAATCAGGGCCCGAGAACTATGGGAGGACAGTGCTCTGTGAGACATCAGTACTTCTCCCAGGACCACACTCCTGAAGGTTCCAGCACCTCCTAGCACTGCCACAGGAATATGGACGCCAGCATCAGCATCCTCAGGAGACACACTCCATCTAGTAGATGAAGGTCCCAATTTTGCGATGCCACCCTATTCTGTAGGGGACAGAGTTTGAGCTGGTGTTTAAGAGGAGAAATTGGAGGTATTTTCTTGGCAAGAATCTCCAACAAGACATTGCCAGGCATTCCTGGAGAGCAAGTGAAACTACAAATGTGGGCTGAGAATGTAGCTTGCTGATAGCACCTGTCTAGCATGCAGAGGCCCTGGGTTGCATGTGCAGGTGGACATGTTCATGTGTGCATGCGTGTGAATAGGCTAAAGGACAACCTCAAGTGTCACTCTTTGAGAGACAGGGTTTCTCTGTGTATCCCTGACTGGTCTGGAACTCACTCTGTAGACCAGGCTGGCCTTGAACTCACAGAGATTCACTTGCCTGTGCCTTCTGAGTGCTGGAACTTAAGGCATGTCTTAGCTACCTTGTTTTTTGAGACAGTCTCTTTTTTGCCTGGGACTCTCCTGATGAGGCTAGCCTGGCTGACTGGAAACTCCCAGGGAGCCTCCTGTTTCTGCCTCTATAGGGCTGAGGTTGCAAGCACACACCACCACACCCAGCTTTTTGTATGAGTTCTGGGGATCAGACCCTCACACTTATGCAAAAGCATTTTACCAACTGATCTAACCCCCAGCTAGTAATCATTATGTCTTTTAAAGCTGAATGGTATACTCCTGTAATCCCAGCACCCAGAAAGCTGAGGCAGGGGGATTTTGAGTTTGAGACAAGCTTGGACTACATAGTAAGTTCAAAGCCATCCTGAACTACATAATGAAACTCTGTCTCACAAATCCAGAGACAGCAAAAAAAAAGTGGGTGGTGGACATGTACAATGGACAATATATAGCATCCCTGAGAGAGAGGTTCCTGTCATCTCAGCTCTCAGGGTCATGAGACCTGCATGGAGCAGGGTCCTCTGCTCCTGCAGTCAAGGTCAGCAGGAGACGTGGCTTGGCTGTTTTGCTTATAATGTGCCCAACCAATGGTAAGGAACAATCATAATATGACCATGGCAGGATCAGCAATGTCGGCTCCTCTGCTCGTGAGTCAGGCTCCAGTTATCTCATTTAACTCCATTCAAAGTAGCATTGTGACCCGCATTGCATGGATGAAGATGCTGCAGCTGTGAGAGGTGAAGGAACCTCTTCAAGGTCGCAGAGCTAGTGAGCAGCCGTTCCTGGAGCACCAGGATGAAAGAAAGAGTTTTCTACAACTCTGCATTCTGGGCAGGGGAGGTGGGGCAGGACAGTTCCAGCAGCCCAGGCTACAAGCCAAGGGGTAACGCGGGGTGGCCGGAGGGCAGGTGAGGAAGGACTCAGCCAAGGCAGAGAGCTGTGGCCTGTCCGAAGGAAGTGCTTCCTGGGTACTGGCTCAGACACAGAGTAGAAAAACACATAGAAAAGATTGCCGCCCAGGGACCTCTCCGCCCCGCCCCATCTTGGAACGGCCCAGGCTGCCCCAAGGCACCAGCTGCACCTTTTGTCGTGCAGAGGGGAGCACAGAGCTCCGAGTGGCTTGCAAATACTGGGCGTGCGCGAGAAGATGCTTCAGCGTTGAGAGAAGGTTGGACACGGGGTTTATCATCACGAATGAAAGTCTCGCCATCACCCCACTAAGAGCTTCCAAAATTAGCGACTATCAGACAGGCCAGGGAAGAAGGGAGCAAGAAAAAGGACTTTTGACACTGCTGGAGAAGGCCAGCGCTCTGCGGAGGAGTGGATGGATGGCGGTCAGAGAGGGCATTAGATCCCCTGCAACTGGGGTTGTGGATGGTTGTGAGTTTACATGTGTATGCTGGGAACAGAACCCAGGTCCTCTGGAAAGGCAGCATGTGTTCTTAACCGCTGAGCCATCTCTCTAGGCCTCTTTACATTTTACAGAGGCCATTGAAAGCCTCTTTGTTTTCTATGCAGAA